ATTCTAAATTATGGAAATAATAAAGTGTTAAGAAACACTCTATGGTTCACTTTAATTGGAGCACACACTGGGTGAAGGTCAGAAGTAGAGAAGCTGGGGAGACAGGCCAAGGCCAGCCATGAAGGTTCTTCACTCTGGACTTTTCAAGTATCAGTATCCAAAGATGTACCTTATAGACACTCTGAAGTAAAGCCATGGAATGAAAAAGCAGGCTGTTATGTATGCATGTTGTGAGCTCATAGAACCTACTAAGCACTAAGTGTGGTGATGTGTGAGCATAAAAGAGGTAGATCTCCACAGGAGCAGTAGATTTCCTGGCATAAGGATGGCCTGGTATAGGCTTAGAAGAATAGTCAAAGGGAGGTCAGAGTAGAGAGGAATGAGCTTGAAGATAAGTGGAGTAACAGCATTCATTCCCATGAGATCCCTCTTCATTTTAGGAATAAAAAGAGAGAATGCTCTTTGGACTGCAAAGTGTGTAAACAGGAGTGTTCCCTGTGTGAACTTCAAGCATCAGAAATCTCTAAAAGCAACCCAGGATGACAAGATATTGGGCAAATGTACCTCCTGGGCTGCGTAACCTAATCTCAGGGCAAGTTCTGGGCTGGGAGAATACCACCACTGCAGGACCCTCAAAAATGTGACTCAACTCTACAGAGAATACCAGGCTTTGAGCGTATTTCTGTAGCACTGAGGCTTGAGCAATCATCATTACGGTAGCAGAGGATAAATAAAAGAAAGCGGACCGCATGGTTGGACAAACCACATAAGCTCAGCCTTGTAAACAGCTGGGCAACAGCTGTAGCTGGCAGCCCCCGCTGGCATGCTGCTGTCAGTCACAGACATGCTCAATACCTGGAAAGTGATATTCGATGTTCAAGGCTAAGCACAGGGGTATTGGGCCTTGCATGCTGGGCCTAAGACAGGCATAAATAGACAGGCTTTTTTCTCCTCTTGCAAACTGATTGCAAATGACTTTCCCAGCAAAGGCAAAATACAAGCAGGTTCTCCTCAGTTCCAAAAGATGAAGAGGCCCAGACATAGTGGTTAGGAGCCCATACTGCTCTTACGGAGGTCCTGAGTTTGGTTCCCAGAGTCTCTCAACTGCCAAGAACTCCAGTTCTGATGGCCTCTTCTTGTGTCCCTTGGCACTTCACTATTTGCACACGTACACAGACATACTTATAACTAAATATAACACATATAACTAAAAATAAAAATAAATCTTCAAAGGAAAGACTAATAGACTCCATTTTCAGTTCCTTGGGTCTTAAATCTTACTGTAATTCACACAGCAGCTCTCCCACAAGTGGCAGCCTTTAGTTTACAAGTTTGTGTGTTAAGAAACTTCAAAAGTGGTGTCCTGAGTGGTATATCACATGGGAACTGGGGATCTTGAACTTGACTGAGCTATCTCCCCAGCCCCAACAAGAATCTTCTTAAAGTCCTTATATCCCTTGCAAAAATGTGGCTTATTGGAGAAGCCAGGGGAGATTTGAATCTGAGTGACATGGTTGTGGTAAGATTCCAGGTTGTTTTCAAGTGTTGTATGATCCAGATCTGTTCACTTCTTGCTCAAAGCCTCAGAAACACACTTTGCTTGTGGATTAATCATTTTGTTCCTTCATTGAAATAGAAAGCCAAGGTTATCTCAGTTTCAGAAATATGCTTTAAAAATGATATTTTATGTTATGTCAAAAACTGTAACTCTACACTGGTTCCTGTGTCAGAACCACCTACACAAAATAGCTGTTTCCCACTGCACGCTTACTTTCTAGGCTGTCAAGCTCCATCTCATCCTTATGGAGACTTGCATTTGAGAACCACAGGTAGAAATGTCTTTCTTGAATCTTTTTTTCAGTTTTGTAATATGGATGCTGGCTTCTAGTTTGGAGCTAAGAGGTCACAGAACAGGAAAGTTTGTATTCAACCTCTTATGCTTTTATAATCAAGTTTATAGGTTTGTATTAAAAATATCAGGGAAACACAAACTCCTCCCTTTGGGACAGAAGGGGTTAACTTGCAGGATGCTAACTAGCTGGGCTGGATTATTACCTGCTCTAGGCAGGAATGCACCTAAGCCTGTTGGCTGCAGGCAATGGAGTCCCCAAGGGGTGTGAGGCATCTGTGGTCAGAGGTATTATTTACTGCCTGTTCTGTGGGACTGAGAAAAGTGAATGTCATTTTATTGAAGTTAGGGGTGGAAGTGGAGTGGCAGAAGTCATTTCCTAGAGGTTTGAAATGATTGCATAGCTACAAAATGTGATAAAGAATAACTTTAAATCATTTTCTAACAAAATTAAAATATTGCCATAATTGTTCCTGGTAGCCAGAACATAAGCACAATATTTAAAGAAGGACAACCATAAATAATGAAATAAGACAAGGCAGGCAAGGAAGACATCTTCACCTACCACTTAAGTGTAAGACAATCCAAGGTGAACAGAACTTTCCAGCCCTATCAGACGTACATTACCATTTCCCACCTTCTCATCACTCTCCTGATTCCCTCTTAACTCCCATCACCATTCTATTGCCTTTTAAAAGACAGACTTAAATACCAAGAGGTGCCTAGCTCCTCTCACTATTCGCTCCACCCCTTTCTGCTGTGATTTTTTTGGGAACTTAGTGCTTTATCCATGTTTGAGAGTGCCTCCTTACTTTACAATACAAACATCTTCTAACATTTGTTCCTATTCATCTGAATCTTGCACAGAGTCTGGTATTATATCACAGGCATTCAATAAATGTGATTCTTAACTGGGTAGTGGTTTTGTTCCTCAGTATTGAATTGGCAGTTCCTAGAGACACTTTGGGGGGTTATAGACCAGAGGGGTAGGGATTGTTACTGGCATCTGGTGAGTAGAGGTCAGAGATGTTACTACACATCATAGGAGACACAGGACAGTCCCATGGGAGGAACAAGTAATTATACAATCCAGGATAGTATAGTGTTAAAACCGAGAAATCTTAGCATACGTTGTGATATGCCGAAGTGTTTGCTGCAAACACCTTGAACATTTTACAAGCCAGGCTCCTGTCTTTACATTGTTTCTCAGAGAAACTTTTATATATACATTAAAATTGAGAATAAACTTGTAGTGACCGTGACTTCTGATGTGCGGGTGAAACAGTTGGGTTTCTAAGTGTGATCAATGTTGGGAATTAGAAGTTAAAAGCTCGTGTTCATGCAGAGTTCTCAGCTTCCCTATACAACTCTGTGAATTAGTTTCAGGTGAATTTCAAAAGAGCAGACCTTTATATATCGAAGATCAGTCCCACAGGGATTTAGAATGGCTTCTCCTGGTCATTTATAAACTGAACCAGGGAACTTTGTGAATTTTATGTACTAAATGTAGCCATACTCCCACATAAAACTGCAGGGGGAACTGTACTTACGCAGGAGAGACTCTGGTATGTAACTGCACGGAAACACAGCTTTCAAGTGACTTCAACTCACCTACTTAGACCAAAGAGGCTGTCAGTTAATTTAACAAACTATCCCTGTTCCCTGATCTTTGGGCCATAAAAATTGTTCATCTGCTCAGTCACAGGCCATTTAATTTTGGATGCATCGTTGCCAGTTGGTTACAGTAATTAGCATTCCCTGTATTGAAGCAGCTTCCCCGAAGCTATGCTAAGTAGGGTTGCACTTTTGTGTGGAGACATAAGCTGGGTTGTGCAAATGAGCCTGGCCACCCATCCTAGGGACAGAAGCCCTAACTACCATCTTCTTGGCTCGGGGTGCCTTCCAGGCCCACCTGCAGATCTTATTTACTGATTATTAATGACAAAAACTGTAGGCAGCTGTGAAAGGCACAGCATGGCAACTCAAAGCTGCAACTCAAAACTATCCTCTGTGGGACTGTAATTTTCTTGAATGACACCTGACTTCATTTTAATTTCTTTCTTTGCTCCAAATGCACTTGTGCTGGAGAAATGCAATAGAAAGTCAATGAGTTCCAGGTTTAATAGGCAGACTTGCAACATTTGTGGGTGCATCTGTTAGTTTCCTGGCAGAAGTGATGCATTTGGAGAGGAAATGGATGTTTGTGTTTGTTCCAGAGCTGACACACAGCTTGTGAGGCGGTGATCCAGCAGAACCCCTGGGGAGACACCAGAGAACAGGGTTACCTGGTGGTTTGCGAGTTGCCAGTCTACGGAGATCACATATTATATAGATTTAAATATCTAATTTGATTAAATAAGTGTTAATCTTCCAACAGCACCGGTGTTTATGCTTGGGAGATCTAGATTTTCAGTTTGCTTAGAGGAACACAGTATTCTGCATAAAAGTCCGAAAATGAATGGCCTCATTGGGAATGAAAACCGGATTCAGTAATTTGAAATACCCACATCTGTATTTTAGTTTGTACATCTGTAGTTTTGGTTTCCTGGGAAACCACCATGCAAGGATTTGTAAGAAAGGTTCATCATATATTGCTTTATATCCGTGGAGATTTTATTTCCTTTTTTGTAACACACAGAATGTAGTATTTCACCAGTGGAATTCATTTTGCATGGTTAATTTCCAGATTAATAGGATGAACACCTTGAATATAATTAAAATAAGTTAGGTTGTTTTCTCCGATCTGACTGATGCTAATGCAAAGACGGGGCTCTCGCTCACATTCCTTGCCTTCTTGCTTTTATTGCAAGTCTCAATTGTTCAAATGAATAAAAGCATCTTAAGTTGAAAAATTTTGAGGTGAGGAACTTATAAATTTTATGATGGATTAGCTATTTTGCTGTCCTATTTAATCATTATATTCTCTAAACACAGTGAACTCTGTTAATTAAAAAATGATCTACGTAGTCTAGGTAAAATTAATCTTTATTTGCATATGCTTTGAAGTAAAATGAAGTAAACATTAGAAGGAAGGAGAAGAGCCACTTTCGGTCTTTGTTGGATGTTCATGCACCTTGTAACTGTGATTGACAAGATGAAGAAAAGCAACAAGCCTATTATTATTGCTACTGGATTCTGTATTTCTTTATAGGCATCCACAAAGGCTCGTTTGTGTAAGTGTGAAGACGATGATAAGAACCAAATAAGAGCAATGAATGTTGGAGGACAAAGAGGAAAGCAAAACAGCTGGACCCAATACAGGTAATTTCTTGTGTCCCTTGTTATTAAAAACAAACAAATAAACAAACAAACAGGAAGAAAGAAAAGAAAGGAAGGAAGGAAACAAGAAAGAACAGAGAAAAGAATCCACAGCAGAATAGCCACAGCAGGAAAAGCATCGAGAAAAAAAAATCACTTCAGGACCCCATTTTAGAAACCTCTTTAAACCAAATCACAAGAGCTAAAGCAGGAGGAAGAAGGGAGACAACTTTTCAATGTCCTCAATGTATTTTGTTATGGTGTACCTTTTAAAATCTTATCAGGATAGAGAGGCTAAGGTCTGCTTCCAATTGCCTGCTACTACTACTATTCTTCTTCTTCTTTTTTTTTTTAAGTAACAAAACAGTCTTGCTTTTGATAGAGGGAAAGAAAGAATGTAAATACTTGTCTAAGAGTATTGTGGTGAATGGCCTTTGGAAAGCTTTATTGACAAACTCCACCTCAATTATAAATGAAGGGAAAGGCAAAGTGTTTGTCACAGTGTCTTTTTATTGGGGTCTCCCAGCAGGTTACTCTGGTCAATGTCCAGAATGAATCAAGAAAGGGAGGAATTCAGGCCACTAAAATTCTGTACTCCATTTTATCATTCGCAATGGAGAAGGATGCTGAGGGATAAGAGAGAGAGACACACAGAGAGAGACAGAGACAGACAGACAGACAGAAATGTGTGCACACACATGCACACAGAGGAAGGAATTTATTAGCTGATGGCAAGGAACTTGTGTATTGGCTAACTAAGTTTTGCTAGGGGAGTCAATAAGATAAAAAAAAAAAAACCTGTTTTTATGTACCAGAGGTTTATTTATTGTATGGAATAAATACACATATTTTACTCAGTCTCATCTGTTATAACAATTCATACCTCCGAATGATGTCACAACAAATTATTCTAAAAATTCTAAAACCAAATATTATGAATCTAGGAAAGAGACTGAAAGGGAGGAGGAGAAGGTTGATAGGTATGTGAGGGAGGTCATAGGATGGGGAGGAGGTTACTTATCTGCGCTACATATGTGTATAAAGCTGTCAAAGAGCACTTAACTAATTTAGAAACAATGGGGGAGGATTGGCGGGAGAGACGGCTAGCCCAGTGGTTGAGTGCACTGGCTGCTCTTCCAGAGAACTCGTGGTCAATTTCTAGCACCCACATGGCAGCTCACACCTGTCTACAAGTCCAGTTCCTGGTGATATGACACCCTCTTCTGGCCTCTGTGGTGTAGAGACATACATGCAGGCAAAACACCCATACACGAAAAATCAATAAATTCATTAAAAAAAAATTTAAAAGTAGGGAGTGGATGAAATGATGGTAACAGTGGAAAAATCCAATGTATGCATGCAAAGGTTCTTCACCATTGTCCAAGCGTGGAGAGTAAATTAACAAGAAATTAGTTTTTTCTCAAGAAAATGCAAAATGGCAGCTGGGCTCCTTATTAGTTCTTTGTGTAGTGGTTATGGAGCAAGCTGTTGACAGCAAGAAAGTGAAGGAATGCTGTAAGGACACTGATTCTTCCTTTCAAAATTTCTCCAAGTCAATATCAAAGTCTGCAGTTGGGGGTGGGCAGGTGCAGGGGGGAATCAGCATCTGTGTGAGCTCTTCAGGACAAGAGTCAACTCCAGATGTTGTCCTGGGAAGCCAGTCAATTTTCCCATCATCCTGGCTATAATGAAGCCCCCTTTTTTCACATTTTGCTTTCTGTGGTTTCATTTACCTGTTGTCAACCTCAATTTGAAAATATTAGTATTTATCTTGACTCAAGAAAGATCACACTCATGCAAGTTTTATTATATTATATTGTTAATTATTTTTTACTTTTTTAAATCTCTTGCTGAGTCTAATTCTAAGTTGAACTTTATTGGGGGTATATGTAGTAAACTTTCTTGTCAGTCTATCTTTGGACCACCAGCCCCCAAATAATGACCCAGAGACTTATTATTAATTACAAAAGTTTGGCCTTAGCTTAGGCTTCTCTCACCTAGCTCTTCTAACTTAAATTAACCCATTTATATTAATCTACTTTCTTCCACATGGTGTTACCTCTCTTCCATCTTGTACCTCCTGTTTCCTCTCTATGTCTGGCTGGTGACCCCATCTTTCTTCTTCCCATAGTTCTCTCCCTGTCTGGAAGTCCCACTTATACCTCCTGCCTAGTTATTGGCCATTTACCTTTTTATTACACCAATCACAGCAATACATCTTCACACAGTGTACAGATATTCCACAACAGGTATCTATGTATATATAAAAAAGAATATAATTGCTACTATGCATAGTTTCAAACATTCACAATGGGTTTTAGGATATATTCTAAACAGAAGGAAGATGTGATATATTTATGTTTAGAACCAAGGTGATTTGGAGTAGAGTGGAGGAATTGTTAACATGCAAGCACATTAATGATACTATTTCATTACATGCAAATTTAAGGATGTGATCAGCCCAAACCCAATGTCTATGATGGGTCTGTTTTCCTGACAGGATTAAGGAATATCTGGAGTTTGTCAGGTGCGGTGACACCATGAAGAAGTTTTTACTCATAATTCCTTAGAATCAAGACTACACACAGGGCCCCCTTAGTAAGCATCTGGGGCAGTTAGGAGGCAGCAGAAGGAAGAACAGGGCCCCATACTCCATGGTTTCTGTGGTGTATGCTCAGCTAGGCAGGGCAGGGCAAAGACTTCAGGATTTATGCTGCGGATACTTTGAGTGGGCTATAATGTAAGCTGATCTCTACTTGTTCAATCTCTGACCTTGAGGCAATTAGAAACAAGGGGCATATTGGTTTAGTGTAAGAGTTAGCTAGAGGAGGTGGTTCAGAATTCGCTTTTTGGACTAGTTGGCCATAAGGGTGTTATACTAAGTAAACTGTTTTCCTATTTGCAGAAATTAGCTGAATATGAGAGGACCAGTCTCTTTCCTGATTTTCAAGGTTCTTAAGATTAGGAAGCATCATGAAATAAATAAGGAAAGAAAAGAACCATGTCCTATATGACTCTGCTGGACAGTTCCAAACAGCAGGACTGAACTGTAAAGGTTAAAGTCTTGACATTGAATGGACATTGGTGTTCCATTCAGAAGTAGGACACTGGTTAGCAGATGAGTACTTATTTTAAAAGTCTGGCCAAATGTAATGGCAATCATGGCTATTCATTGATTCGTTGCTCTTTGTCAGAGACTGTGGTACACACTTCGTACATCCTGCTTGACAACGTCACAATCAGGCACTGTCATCTCCAGTGATGGAGGGACAAAGAAAATCTCACAGAGGTTTAGCAACTTGATTGGTTAATTCACCAAAACCCAGCAGAGAGATTTAAGTCCAGCCCTGACCATAGATTGTCAACCTGTGTTCCTTTAAGATTCACACCTGGACTTTGAGGTTTCACAAAGGAATATAAATAAAGAAATAAATGTAGCATAGATAAAGAGACTGACTTATGATTGCTAGTACTGTAAAGAGAATAATTTCAGGAAAAGACAGTGTATACTTTCCCAACAACACAAAGATATTGGAAAGCAGAAAAACTAAGGAAGATATGTTGGAAAATAAACACCTTCTTTCCATGGAAACATAAACAGTGCCCTTATGTTTTACCTTTCACTACCGATGGTCTCTGGAAAGAGTGGGTTTAAATGTGGTGCTAGGCAGTCCAGCAGTACTGCATGATGATGGAGGGAGGACCCTGATGCCCATTAATATAGGTTGGAATCTGGTATCAAGCTCTATGGGAGCCTCTCTGTGTTGTGAAGTCAGACAAGAGGTTTGCAGTACAAATGAAAGCTATAGTGCTATTTCTAGAAAGATCATTTTCAGATGGCAAAAAAAAAAAAAAAAAAAAAAAAACAGTCTCAACAAGGGAGTTTGGGGAAATCATGAAGAGAAAGAGGTGGATTTTCACTCTTGTTTGAGAGAAAGCCAACAAGAAAAATGGTTTGTTAATAAGATAAAATTTAGCAAAACCAATGAGGAAAAAAGGTGAGAGATGATAGAATAAGGACACGGGAGAGAACATGACTGGTAGCCAAATGTTCTACGTCCTCATTAAAGACAAAAAGGGGCCAGTGGCTAAAATAGCAGCAGGAAGTCAATCAATCAGACAAAAGAGCACACTGTGACAATAAGGCTTCTGAAATATTGGAACGAAGTGTAAGAAGCCCCATTTTGACTCCTTACCTTCATTAATTCTTTGCTGTTGACCAATCTGAATGATGGAATTCATTTTTCCAACTCTCTCATTGCTATTTAGAGCGGAAGCCAAGTGCTAGGTCAGGTCCTTTCTTCTGGCCACTTTGCATTTTTCACTCTGATAAACTACTTTTTAGAATTTCTTTTTCATATCAATCTACAAGATTGAAATACCCAACTTTCTTCTCTCAAAGTTTGAAATGGCAAATATAGTGTATTGGAAAAAGAAGTATCCTACCTAGTTATCAATCTAGTCTTTAGAAATGGTAGTAATACTACATCTACAGACAGACAGACTAATACTGATCTACCTATGATATATATATATATGAGTGTTTACCTCAACAATGTAGGAAATGACTCTGGGTTGGAGATAAATATGAACTTTGTGATAAGATCCCCCAAGTCAAACACAGATGATGCTATTACAAAGATAGTGTGTATACCTTAGGCTCCTTAGAAAAACGAGCCTACCATCAGCACATCTGGAAATACAATCTTACCAGGTATTTTATCCTGATGGCAAGCTGACAGAAGAGGTGGAATGTTCTCCAGTTTATAGATGAGAGGTCTGACACTCAAAGAGATGGGATGACCTGTCTAAAGCCACAGTGTCAGGAGAGGAGCTTGCAACCAACCCAAAGTAGTCTAGTTCTAGGTTTGTTCTAGGTTTGTTCTGTTTTGCACTTAAACTTTTAAAAGTGGAATGTGAGTTGGGACCTAGGACTTTTTTTAAATTTTTTTATTCATTTTACATACCTATCAAAGATCCTCCTCTCCCCTCCTCGTGCCCCTCCAGCCTCCCCCTCCCAACCCACCCTCTCCCTCCATTCAAGAAGATAAGGCTTCCCATGGGGAGGTACATTTAGTAGAGGCAAGTCTAAACCCCTCCCCCTGCCTCAAGGCTGTGTGAGGTGTCCCATCATAGGTAGTGGCCTCCAAAAAGCCTGCTCATGCACCAGGGATAGATTCTGATCCTATTGCTGGGGCCCCTCAAGCAGATCAAGCTACACAACTGTCTCACTATACAGAGGGGCTAGTCCAGTCTCATGCAGGCTCCACGGCTGTTGATCTAAATTTCATGAATTCCCACTAGTTTGGTTTGGTTGTCTCTGTAGGTTTCCCATGATGATCTTGATGCCCCTTGCTCACAGAATCCCTCTTCTCTCTCTTCGACTGGACTCCTGGAGCTCAGCCTGGTGTTTGGCTGTGGATCTCTGCATCTGCTTCCATCCATTACTGGAGAAAGGCTATATGATGACAGTTACGGTATTTACCGGTCTGATGACTGGGGTAAGCCAGTTCAGTTCAGGCACCCTCTCCACTATTTCTAGTAGTCCAAGTTGGGGTCATCCTTGGGGATTCCAGGCAACTTCCCTAGCACCAGGTTTCTCTCTATCCCCATGATGTCTCCATCTATCATGGTATCTCTTTCAATGCTCTCCCACTCCATCCCTGTTCCAGCTTGACCATCCTGTTTCCTTATGTTCTCATCCCCTACCCCCTACTCTCCATTGCCCACCCCTCACCCCCAGTTTACTCATGGAGATCTTATCTATTTCTTCTTCCCAAGGCGATCCATGCATCCCTCTTTGGGTCCTCCTTGTTAGCTAGCTTCTCTGGAGCTGTGGGTTGTAGTCTGGTTATCCTTTGCTTTACATCTAATATCCATTTATGAGTGAGTACATACCATGTTTGTCCTTCTGAGTCTGGGTTACCTCCCTCATCCTGGGATGTTTTTAAACAACAGATACTGATTTATTGACTGTAGGGTAGAATGTGCAATCCTGCACTTCCAACATGTTTCCAGGGCTGCTCTTGTCTTAGTTCCTGAGCCATAAACACTTCTTGGCAAATACAGCAAGATGTTAAGTTGATTTCTTCTTGAGCTATGGAGCCACCAAGTGTGCTTTTGAAAACTCCTTTTATCAGTTAGATATATCCCCATCTACTTATAACTCCATGACAATTTTTATCATAATGAGATGTTGGATTTGTTAAGTATTTTTTACCATATGAATTGATATAAATATGCCTTTAATGTGTAATTTGGCTTTTCAGACATTGAATTAACCTTGATTAGTTCATAATAGTCGTCGAAAGTATTACTGTTTGCCAGGCGGTGGTGACACACACCTTTAATCCCAGCTCTCGGGAGGCAGAGGCAGGCAGATCTCTGTGAGTACCAGGCCAGCCTGATCTACAGAGCAAGCTCCAGGACAGCCAAGGCTACACTGAGAAACCCTGTCTCGAAAAACCACACACACAAAAAGAAAATATTGCCGGGCGGTGGTGGCGCACGCCTTTAATCCCAGCACCCGGGAGGCAGAGCCAGGCGGATCTCTGTGAGTTCGAGGCCAGCCTGGTCTCCAAAGCGAGTTCCAGGAAAGGCGCAAAGCTACACAGAGAAACCCTGTCTCGAAAAAAACCAAAAAAAAAAAAAAGAAAATATTACCATTTCTCTTTCAATTCTAGATGTAATAAAATGGATTTCTGTAGAACATTCAGAAGATAAAAAATGGAATTTAAATAAAAATAACCAAATTCTTATTGCTCGGTGAATTTGTTAATACATTGGTGAATATCCATTCAGTTTTCAAAAGGCCATTATGAACATTGTAATGAGTCAAGATGGAAATAATGCATGTGTATAATACACATCTTTTTATGTGATTTTTTTTCCAGTTTTTAGCATTTAAAACTACTAAGTATTACTGCATTTTATGCAGCGTTGCAGTTCTTCTTGTCTAGAATGTCTGTTGACAGGCTTAGCTTTCCTCTGTGTATTTATTGTTTGTGTTTACCATCATAAAGCAGTAGTGAGTATCATCAGACACACACTGTAACTACAGTTTAAACAAATTATCTGAGATCCATGATCAGAAATAAAACGATAGGTTCTCAGTATATCAACATTGTATTTCTTCATCGTGTGTGTGTGTGTGTGTGTGTGTGTGTGTGTGTGTGTGTGTGTGTGTGTGTGTGTGTTTCTGCAGATGCACACATTCTGCAGAGGGCTGGGGAGGTCAGAGGACAAGTCTTAGAAGTTGGTTCTCTTCTGCCACCTTGTGGGATCCAGAGATGGAACTCAGGTCATCAGGCCTGTGTGCAAGCTCCTCTACCCACTGGACCATCCTGCCAGTCAGCATTTTAAAATTCCGGATGTGAAAGTCCTTTTGAATAGCATCATATGTTTGTTTCCGTCAAGTGTTTAGTAAGGGTCTTTTAAATGTTTACTGTTTTGGTATTGGAGCTCATGTGAGCCATGGAGTGACAACTTCAGGGAGGTGGGATTCCTTGTCCACTATCCACAGTGGGCTCTGGGGCTCAAGCTCAGATGACCAGGTTCATGTGTGGCAAGTGTCTTTACCTCTGAGCACCTCTAAGGCCCAGTTTTGTTATATTTTAGATTAGCATAATTTTTAGAGCATTCCTTAGGTTTAACATAAAATTGAGTGGAAAGTAGAAAAGGTTCCCATAACCCCCCTGTCTCTATAACCCTCTCCCTATTGATATCCCACACCATGGGGTATTTGCTCTAACTGTGAACTTCTATTGATCAATCACTGATAGTCCATAGTTTAAATTAGTGCTCATTCTTGCATATCCTATGAATTTTGACAAACCTTATCTTCTAGAATGTGTTTAAGAGCCACACTTATTTTATGCATAACAATAAATTTTACATATTAACACTATAATAGAATGATTTGATACAGTTTAAAACAGAAGAAAAATGGGTAACATTTTACATTATATCATCTTTCTCCTCCAAAAAATTGTTTTTAAAAAATCACGTCTTCTGTTGCCGGGCGGTGGTGGCGCACGCCTTTAATCCCAGCACTCGGGAGGCAGAGGCAGGCGGATCTCTGTGAGTTCGAGGCCAGCCTGAGCTACCAAGTGAGTCCCAGGAAAGGCGCAAAGCTACACAGAGAAACCCTGTCTCGAAAAACCAAAAATAAATAAATAAATAAATAAATAAATAAATAAATAAAATAAAATCACGTCTTCTAATTGGGTAAGTGCAACAGTTGTGTTCAGTGACTGACTAGCCACTCCTGACTCCTACTGCACTGATGGTCAATGGAATTCAAAAGAAAGCCTGACTTTCACAATCACTGCCTCAAGGGAAGAACACATTTGGATTATTTTGGATGAAAAAAAAAAATGGTTCTTACTGATTCAGTACAAAGGAGGGTGAGTTCATGTATCCATTACAGGAAAAAGAATGACAGACTTGATACTAGAAAAAGTAGCTTCATGTCCTCTTTCACGGCTCATGAATCCTTTTGTTTACGTTCCATCCTTTGTCATCACCTTATATTACTCTCTGTTGTCTCTTTTCTGAATTTTAGATTACACTCTCACTTAAACCTGATTGCATTTATACATTATAGGTTAGGATCCCCATATGAGGGAAGAACGTGTGTGTGTGTGTGTGTGTGTGTGTGTGTGTGTGTGTGTGTGTGTGTGTGTATCTTTCTGAGTTTGGGTCACCTCATTTAATATTTTATTTTCCAGATCCATACATTTTCCTCCAAACTTCACAATTTCATTTTTCTTTACAGCTCAATAATACTTTATTTTGTATATGTGCCACATTTTTATTATCTATTAGTCTATTGATGGACATCTACCTTGGTTGTATCCTTGCTTGTATCCTTGGGAATAAGCTGCAATCGGAATAGATGTGCAAATATATCTGTGCTAAGGTATGGAGCTCTTTAGGTATATGGCCAAGAGTTCTATAGCTGGCTCACATAGTAGTTCAGTTTTTGTTTTTTTGAGGAACCCCTAAACTAGTGTCCATAATGCCTGTATTGATTTTCACTCCCACTAGCACTGAGTAAATGTTCCTCTTTGCCCATGCCATCTCCAACATTTGTTGTAAAGTATTTTATAAATTCAGATGTCGTATATTTTAAAATTTATATTTTCATTTCTATTTAGGAAACAACAACTCCTCCTGTTCCTCCTCCTCTGAGACAAAGTGTCATTATGTAGCCCAAGGGGGCCTCAACCTTGAACTGCTTATTGTCTCAGCATGGGGAGTACTGATCGATTACAGGAGCGTGACATTGTCCTCATCTATAACAGTCTTATGTCCTGCATTGTGTTGTATGTATTTTTTACATTGTCCATGTTCCCAAGAATCTTCTGTTTATGGTACTGGGTTGTACCTTTTTATGTAATTTTATTTTGTTTGCAAATTTAATTGTGGAGTTGGTAGTATACATATCTCTTGGATTTTCATTCAGCGACATACTACTTTACTGAAATACTTTCAGTGGTTTAATGGTTTTCCTATTGTTTTCAGAAGATTTTTCTGAATGGCTGATTTCTGATTTCAGTGAGAATGTTCCTGATGCTTTTCATCTACCACTCTCAGCACCTAGACTCCAGGGTGGAATTCCAAGCCATTTACGTGGATTTTCCAAGCATGGCTTAGGATTCTTTTGGGTAGCAGTCACTCAGCGGGACACCTAGACCACAAAAATCCACAGACAAGCTGTGGAAGGCTCTAGATTTTGTTAAAAATCCATGTACTTATCAGCAGCTCCAGAGAAAACTACTTCTCCCCAAGATCAGATGTGTCTGATCAGACTTTACTACTTATATGAATTTTCCATTAAAATACTTTACATATTTTAAAACACTTAAAACTATACATGCATTTTAGGATTAAGGTAGAAGTGGCTATCACAGTCTGACAGGCAAAAGCCATTTTAAAATCAGTTTCTAGTCATAATTTGGAGTAGAAGAGTCCACCTGAGCTGGGCTAGGTGGTACCTGCTAATAATCTCAGCCCTTAGGAGGCTGAGACAGAAGGATCTCAGGTGTGAGAGCATGGTGAGCTACAGACAGGATCCAGTGAATGATACTTACGCAGAGGAAAGACTAGCAATGCAATTACCATATTGTAGAGTGCATTCTGTGTTTCTCACTGTAACCCTTGGCATCACTTACAGTGATGGCAGCCAAGAGGAGTTGACATAAAATGTCTACTGGGGTATAGACCCAGTTTTGTAATCAAATCTGGAGCCTTCGGCTTAGCACCTGGATGATGGTGCTACATCCCAAAGGGCATCAGTGGTGCTGTTTTGAGAAAGGCCTATGCTCGCAAAGTTCCCCAAGTTAATTTTGTTGTTAACTGTTGAAGAACTTCCCTCATTTGCATTGACTCTCAATGACCTACCTTCAGGCAAACCCCGACCTACAGTCAGAGCTGTGGACTAAAATAGAACTGTGCGTTTGAATGCATAGCAATTTTTCCCTATGGGATTGTGTGATGCTTCATGCTAGCAGCACTATAGGCAGTGTACCTGGTCCAACCAGTTTAGGAGGTAGGAGGGATAGTGCCTATGCTAACAGGACCCCAGCTCAGGCCTTGTATATTTTCTGTTGATAAACCTCCCAAGTTCATTTCCTTAATGGAATGATGGCCTTTTCAGTTGTTCTTTTGTATGCTCATGGTGACTTGGATTATTAGCACATGCCCTTTGCAACAGAGGAGGCTGACGAGGTGAAACGAAAACAGCAGGAGAATATGAACTTGCAAAAAGTCAGCTTTTTGTGGCAGCCCTGCAGCTTGGAAACAGACACAGAAAAATGACAAAGAGAATGGAGACAATATCACAGATAAGTAACACTATTGTTAATTCGAGGTTTTTCATTTGTTTGTTTTTGTTGTTGATATAATTGCCTGGGCACAGGCAAGTCTTAATACAGGAAAATGTCCTACAAAGTTTGTGGAATAAAAGGAAGCTTGAGTTTAGGAAAAACAACTATTTAGCATGGACAGGGATTACTTTTCTTGCTGTATTTCATATGCAAATTTAGTTCATTTTGTAAGAGTACTATTATGGAAGGTTCAAGTGATGCCAGTATGGATGGCACTTTGATTCTCCTTCTCCTCTTCCCCCTTTTCTTTCTCCTCCTCGTCCTCCTTCTCTTCCTCCTCTTCCTCCTCCTCCCCACTTCTTCAAGATAGGGTCTTACTATGTAGCCCTGGCTGGCCTATAACTGGCTATGAATTCATAAGCTAGCTGTGAATTCACAGAGATCCTCCTGCTTCTGCTTCCCAAGTGCTGGGACTAAGCTTACACCACCACACCTAGCTTGATGTTCAGCTGATTTGAAATTATGGGTAGAACAATGCAAGAGTATCGTGTAGTGTCTGGCAGTAGACAAAGAGGCAGCAAGAGACTATTGATGTTTTTACGTTTGTTTTAAAACTGAAAAAGAGCGTCCATTCCAAATGATGTGACTAGACAAGTTATTAAAATCATAAAGTTCTACATAAGACTTGCTTTTTATAAAGTCCTTTAGACAAGCACACTAATATTGAATTCCATTGTTATACTAACAAAATGCTTGTGAATTTGGGCATTATTTAAGTTCAACATAAGGAGGAGAGGTTTTGATCTTACATCTGGC